AGTGCCCGCGGCGGCAGCAGCGCACTCCTGGGAAGGGCATGGCCCCAGGAGGGTCGTGAGCAGGGCCAGCCTGCAGGCACAGCAAGACCTTGTCTCCGAAAAGGGCCAGGCGCACGCCTGTAATCCCAGTACTGGGAGGCCCAGGAGGGAGGACCCCAAATTCAAGCCAGGCCTGGGGATTTGGCGAGATCTTGTCTGAAAACTAAAACAAATGACGGGGTGTAGTGTGAAGGCTCTGGCTTCGATCTCCAGTACAATAAACACACATGAATATTTCATTTTATTTTTTGGTTTTGAGACTAGCCTTGAACCCATGGCAATTTCCCTCCTGCCTCAGCCTCTGGAGTGCTGGGGTTACAGGCGTGCACCCTCATGCCCTAAATAAGTGAGTATTAAAGGCGGCCAGGATTTAAGCTCAGTGGTGCAGCACCTGCCCGGCAAGCACAAGGTCCTGAGTTCAATCCCCAGTACCAACATACATACATACCCACATACTAAAGAGCACCCAGCACCCACCACTCCAAGGCACTGAAACCCAGTGCAAAGCCAGCCAGAGATGGAGATATACCTTTATTGTGGAGAAACAGTCGGCAGAGCCCTCCCTCCGCCCCAGACACAGTTAACCCTTCAACATGGCTTCCTTCTGGGCCTGCCAGCTTCTCAGGGCACCACGCCCCAGGCTCCACCTGACCTTCAGACTCCCTGCTGGGTGATTGTCTGAGTCCTACAGAGCCCTGGGAGGGCTCTGCTCAGTAGAGGTGGCTTCAGCTGGGGACACAGGGCTCCTCGGGCAGGGACGCAGGGGGTGGCCCACTCTCCTCTCGGAGACCGCCCTGATAGAGGCGGCGAAGTCGGGACAGCTCTCTTTCTGGTGGCTGCTTCCAGCTGTACCAGGGGTACCAAGGGTCGCCGGCAAGCAGGGTAGGGGCCGGCGGAGTAGCACTCACAGCACCATGTGACGTACTGAAGTCTGGGTCCCGGGGTTCCACCTGAGGAATGTGGTAACTGAGGAGCCCTAAGGGATTGGAAAGAAAGAGGGAGGACAGAGGAGAGGTAGTTCAGGGTAAAAGGCGAAAAAAGGGCTTCACTAGTCAGAGCCTCTGGGTACCTTCATGCATGTTGTATTCAGCACAAGAGCAGTGGGCTTAGGCACCGATGCAATGATATCCTTCCTGCCTAGGACCCAGCCTGAAAAACTGGGTGCCCCGCCCCAGGGCCGCAGCACCACACCCACTCTGGTGGTGGGTGACACCTTCCATGAACCTGCCCAAAGGGGCCACAGAGCTAGAGCCGGAAATGTACACAAAGATCTTCCTGTGATCTTGCTGCAGCACTGCGACTGATGGTTGTAAAGCAGGAGGACAAGGAAAGGAACAATGAACAGGAGGTGGGAGCACGACACTGGAGCCAAGAGGGGCTGGGAGGGGACGCGCTGGGGAGGTGGGAGCACTCACATGCAGGACCTGCCCCAGGCCTGCGTACCCTCCTCTGCCCGACGAAACTGCCGTTCTCACACTCACCGTGATCCCTGGCTTTCTGGATGGCCTGAGTCAACTTCTTGTGCTGCTTCATACAGACCCCTGCAGAGAGACAAATAACCAGCTGCACATCAAGGGCACTAAAGGAAAGAGTACAGCTGCTTCTATGTATTCAGGGTTGGACGTATTCTATGTATTCAGTTTCTGAACGACCCTTTCATGGGGCTCAATTACTTCTTCTGTCTGAACAGAAGAGTGTTCCCCCTCTCTCTGAGCTAAGATGAGGACTTAGGGTCTTAGTCACTACAGAAAAACCACTTAGGGTAAAGGCCGCAAGAAAGGGGGCAGAGCCAGGAGTGGTGGTGCACACCAGAAATCACAGTACTCAGAAGGCTGAGGCAGGAGGATTGCCACAAATTCAAGGCCAGCCTAAACTACACTAGGAGATCCTGTCTTAAAAAAAAAAAAAAAAAAAAGGGAGAGTACACAATTCCAGGCAAATGTGATGAAACAGCCGAGTTGGACAATACCCAGAGATGGGTCCAATAAGGGAAGAAACAGCTTCCAATCTGGGGAGAGTGATCTGGGGTAGTAGCCACAATTGTCCCTTCAGTTATGCACCATATAAGGCAAAACTCCCCAATAAACCAAACACTCATCATGATGCCACCCCCAGTAACAGGGAGTTCAGATTACGCTTTGCAAATTTATCTTGCTTGAGAGCTGGTGTTGGCAAAGTATTTCTGTGTGGTACTGAGGCCTGAACCTAGGGCCTTCCACGTGCTAGGCAAACACTACCACTGAGATACATCCCAGCCCCCTGGAAAAAATTTCTGTATGGGCCATAAATACAAGTATGTTAGGCTCTGCAGCTACACAACTCTAACACTGCCGCCTGGTAGTGATTGTAGACAAGAAGAGAACACATTTTTGTAGCTCTTGTTCTGTTTTTTTGAGAAAGCTGTGTAGCCAGGGTGGCCTCAAACTCATAGAAATCCTCCTGCTGGGATTACAGGCATGCGCCACCACGCTTGGCTACCATCTGCCTTTTAAGGACCACAATGACCCCTGCTTACGGAGGTACCTGAATGTATCTTTTCCCTACACGTAACAGCTGTAGCATGAGTATCTCCACTGAGATTTCCAAAAGGTTGAACTGCACTTTGTATGCCACCCACCAAATAGCCACTGTCCAGTGACACAGAGAGCCACCCTGGTGGTGACAGGGGTGACAGGCTCACCTGTGTACGGAGCGTGGAAGATGATGCCAGTATGGGCGCAGACGAACTGTTCCAAGAGCTTTACATTCTGCAGGGAGAGCAGTGAACACGAGGAGGGGCAGGGATTCAGACCTCTGGGGACTGTGCAGACCCTGCCTCCCCCACTCAAGCTCCCCGGGCCCACCCCCTCCCTCCAGCCCCAAGACACCCATCAATTCATGGCTGCATTTCACATGCACACCCTACACTTGGACTCACACAGAACTTTCACCTACATAGTTACGTTCTAAAGTTAGCCAGGAATCACCCTCAAAATGTTGATTTGTGTACATGTAAATGACTAAAATACACTGACTAAGAACAGTTCTAACTTTTTGATTACATAGAATGATTATCAGCTAGCAAATCAACCACAGGAAGTAAGAGTTGAGGAAAAAGCAGGTGTATCTACAGAGTGGCGTGGCAGGCAGAATCATCAGCACTACTCAATTTGCTACTGTTCTTTGGTTCTGTACTTGGTTACACTGCTTTCATAACTCACCATACACAACTGGAACCAGGAGGCATCTATGGGGCACCCTGTGACCTGTGTCAGAGGGCAGCGAGGGCTGCAGATGTGCCCACTCACTGACTGATGCACAAATGCCTTCCAACTCCTGATGCCCGGCCACACAGCGTGTGCTAACACCCTCACTGCCAGCTCAGAGAAACACTACTGGTTTGTATAATACACTTTCAATTTGAGGAGCAAATCTTGTCCTCCTTGCTGTGTTGAAGGCTTCTTAAAAAGCAGTCCCCTAGATTGTAAACTAAAGCTTCCTATCTCTGATCTCCAGTCACAGATCTTAGCACACCCAGGAAACATGACCAAGAAATAAAGAAAACCATAGGAATAAAATAGGCCAATGTACTTGGCAGGTTTCAGTAAGCCCAGCAGACAGAACAATGAAAGAAAAACTACAGGAAGAAGTAGGCCAACACTTGCTAACAGTTGTAACAGAAATTAATTGTTGGGCATTGCTCTTCCACTAGAAAAAGGAATTTTTCACCAGGTGTGGTGGCACAAGCCTGTTACCCCAGCATTTGTGAAGCTGAGGTAGCAAGACCATCAGGAGTTTGAGGCCTGCCTGAGCTACACAGTGAGTTCAAGGCCAGCCTGAACTACATAGCGAGATTCTGTCTCAAAAAAATCCAAAACAACCAACCACAAGAACAGGTACTTTTCTTACCTGCCAACTATTTATCTCATGGATATGGGATACAATTTTTTAGAGCAATCCATACTGGAAGGCAAAAGGCTAGACAGAATGCTTCTGTATTGCCAGAAATATTCACTACAAAATGGACTGCAGGGAAGCCAAGATATGAGGAAGTGTGGGGCACTTACAGCAAAGAGGCTCCAAACCCTTATTCTGATTATTCTGATAAGAGATTCTCCTTACCCTAAAGTCCACATGCAACTTGTGATCCCGGCAGATGGGACAAGGGTTCCCAGCAACTTTGCTTTTACGCTATAGAGAAAAGAAACCGGCAGTGGGAGATGTTCAAAGCCTTGTCAAAGTGGCCCGCTCCTCTCGCGACGGCTTCTCCCCACCCACGTGCCACCCTCAGAAACTCACGATGCACGTCCTCCGGGTCCGCTGAGGGGGTACGCCGCCCTTGTGGTTGCGGCGGTAGTCAGCCCAGACAGGGTGGGAACCGTAGCGGCTCCGGTATTCTGAGACAGAGCAGACAGGCTGCTAGTACCTACGTCCACTACTTCAGACCACACCCGATCCCTCCCCATCTAAGGTACCTTCTGACTCCAGGTATCTCCAGGGCTCATTCTCATAAGGGGAAATAGGAGCTGGGGGCAAAGAATCTTTCCCAGGAGGGGCTTTGGTGCAAAACGTCTGGAGGGGAACCTGTAAAAGAGGGGAGAAATGAGACAGTGACACAATGAATTCAAGGAAAGGACTCAACTGTTTCTCTCACACTTTGGGGAGAGGGGAACGCATGTTCACTGAGTTCATGTAATTCAGCACGAATATGTAGTGTCTTTGTCGAGGTTAAAATGACATAAATCAACAATCCATTTCAACTCTCCCTAACCCCAAATGGATCCTAAAGAGAATCCTAATGTTTGGTTGTTTCTTTTTGGGGGGGGGGGAGACAAGATCATACCACATAGCTCAGTCCGATCTTGAGCTCACTATGCAGCCCAGGCTGCCCTTGAACTCTAGGTGATCCTCCTGCCTCAGCCTCTGAGGCCTGAGATTACAGGTGTACACCACCATGCATGGTTTAAGAGGCTAATGTAGAAAAATAATTAGAATAAGTACCTGAGAAGCAATCTTATTTAAGACAATTTAAAAACCTACCATACAAGGGCACTTGTGTTTTGGGGATGAATTGAGTCTTGGAGAAGAAGACAATGCGAATGTGTTTGGTCTCTTGGAAGTAAGATGTATAGTTAGGAGGGGTAAACATCCAGCTCAATCAAAACCCAAGTCACTGCGTTGCCCAGTTTTATAGGAGGTTGGAAGGCCAACACAACGCACAGCAAAACAAACTTGAGTCCTAACGCTAGTTTTAAAGCTTCCATCCCGTCATTAACTCCATGGTGACCTCTGTTAGCACTCTCAAGTCTCCCTTGACCTACCGCCACTATCTCGCCTTGCCCCACCAAGAATCGGCCCTACCCTGATCTACCAAGAATCTCCAGGGTGGTGAGTAAAAATCGCAATCCAAAGGGCAGAATTAAACTCTCAGGAGAGCTTCAGTAAGAAACTGGTTTAAAGATAAAGCTGAGAAACTGGTTCCTAGGTCCTGAGAATGTATCCTGGCTTTCCTGGGTGATAGCAAGACTGGAAGAAATCACAGCCCTTCAATACCAGGGCATTCAGGGACATCACAAATTTTGACACTATCTACCTAAGACCTAGTTGTGCATGACCAAGTGGATAATGCCTCCTCCACCTAGTTATTTTGTCAAGACGGCATTTTGGGGGCCGCGCGGTGACACACGCCTCTACTCCCAGCACTTGGGAGGCTGAGGCAGGAGGATCGCTGCGAGCTTGAGGCCAGCCTGGGCTACATAGTGAGTTCACGGCCAGTATGAACTACAAAGGAAGACCCTGTCTCAAAAACACAAAAAGAAGCCGGGCGTGGTGGCGCACGCCTGTAATCCCAGCACTCGGGAGGCGGAGGCAAGAGGATCGCTGTGAGTTCGAGACCAACCTGAGCTATAGTGACTTCCAGGGCAGTCTGAAGTACATAGTGAGACCCTGTCTCAGAAAACAAAACAAAACATAAAACACACACACACACAAAGAGAAAAACAAAACAAAAAAAGATGGTATTTCGGGGAGAGGATGACACCCAACCAGCTTTTAGCCATCAACTCAGGATTAGAGAAGTCCCCCAGTATTGGGCAGGGGATGATGATCCTGGACTTAAGTGTTGCCTACACAGCTTAGGAACAAGCACGCGGGAAAAGAATGAAACGACGATTTAAGGAAAGTATAACTAGGTCGGATTTACTGGCTGCCCTCTGAAAGGAGTTACCTGAACTCCGTAGATACCTCTGAAGGGCGAAAGGGTAAGACACCGCCTGAGAAGCGTATTCAATACAGAGGACGCCATCTTGACGTAGTGGAGTCTGCGCATGCTCTTAGAGATTGAGGCGGGCGGAGGCATTTGCCCGGCGCAGAGCGGCCGTGCGCTTACGTCAGAACGTAAGCGTCAAAGGGGGGGCCGTGGGCAGAAGCTAATTTCAACTGCGTCATAATGGAATTAGGCGTCAAAATTGTGTTTCTTGTACACTAGCCCCTACAACTATGAGATTCCGTACTTAGCGTTTGCCTTAGAAGCAATTTTGAGTGCGTTTTTTGAGCGGAATCCTCCCACTGCGCATGCGCCTTCCGGTTTCTACCAACCCAGGGTGAGAAATGTTCATAGGACGGAAGTGGTGGAAGCAGAGGAAAGGGAGGTGCTAGGGTCTCCGGTCAAGCGTACGCGACGCAGGAATCCAGAAGGAGCCGGAAGCGGGGGCCGGGGGAAAGGGGCTGTCCAAAGGTTTAACCAATCCGCTGGCAAGGTGTCCTTCGCATTGACCAATAAGGTCACGCCTCGCGCACAATGTCTCGCGACAAGGGCGTTTAGCCTGCACGTTTCAGCGCGTTGGGCGGCGTCCGGGTATAAAAGACTCCGCCCGATCGGGCAGCCGCCATTCTGGAGTTCGTTTAGAGGTAAGTTGCTGGGTCCTGCGGTTTACATGGGCAAATTTTTGCGTAGCGCCTTGTCCTGGGAAGTTGGCTAGGACAGGAGCTAGTTGGGAGTCACGGCTTGTGTAAGGCGGCTGTGTTTGGGTGGGCCATAGAAGGTTTTGGGGACGAAAAAGATAATTCTCTGCAGTGTTGTAAGAGCGACCCGTATTGATTATGTCTTTCTCCCTTGTGTTCCTTTTACCCCAGGTTTGAATTTTCTCGGAGAAAGACAGGCCGGCCACGAGGAAAACAGAAACGAGCCGCAACGACATCTAAGCCCTTGAAAGGATCCAGAGGGGGGAAAGGGAAAACCGCAGCCACCAGCCCAACCACTTGTGTCTTCTACCCCTGCCCACCCATCTTGCCCACCCCACCAGCCCACGCTGCTTGGGACTTGAGATCTGTGGCCGAAGGACCATCACCACATACCTTCAAAAATAATCAACCACCCTCCCTTCCCAAACCCAACCCAATTTCACTCATCCAGCGTTTACTTTTTTGCACCCACTCAGAATTTTTTTCAACAACCCCCCTCCCTAAATGGAGTCGGGTGGGGGGGAATGAATACTGAGTTGGCGTTTCTTTTTTAAGAGACTTTTTGATCCAATGAGGCCCCCTAAATAATTCAGTTTTGGGTCCTGGTTGGTTGGTTTTTTTTTTTCCTCCAAATTTTGCCCCCTCCCCCCCTGAGCCCGAGGTGCTGACGTCGCAAAAAAATTGGATAGTAAGTGTCGAATTTTCAAAAACCAGCCTTGCAACAAGAAATCAACGTTTCCCGTTGTGAAACCAAAAATGAGAGGAAGAAATGAGACCATAGAACAAATGTAGAGCTGGAGAAGGACCGATCTGGTCACTTAATCTCCATTAAAAAGGGCCTTTGGGTCTAAAGAGTCTTGTTTTCTCTCCCCTACCACCTACCTCTTCCCTGCTCTGCTGCAGGCAAGGAGGGGGTGCAGGGAGGGCCAGCAAGTGAGAATTTTGATGGTTAACCCTTCGTAATCCAGACAATTTCCAGACTGCCAAAGCATGTGTTTGCTTTTATAAGGAGGAATGGTTACCTTCCTCTGGGTAACAGCAGTCTTCAAAAGGGTTAATGAGCTCACATACAAAAGATGGTGGATCTTGTGGCCCAGAAGTCCCACTTCTTTGTGTGTGAGACGAGCAGGGCGCCTTTCAATTTGCCAGATTAATAAGCAATCTGTACATAAAGATTGCAGGGTAAGGAGATGGGCAGAGAATAATAGCTGGCTATGTTTTTAAATGATTGTTAAATCCTCTCAGTTTTAATGTAATTTGCTTGGGATATTGTATGTTGAAACTAGGTGGCAATCTAGGAATAAAGATTGCAAGACACTTAATTTAGGACAAAATAGTATCAATACATAACAAGTTAATCGGGAGGTAAAGAATGTCTTGTAATTGTTGCAAATTGCATAGGTTATTTAAAAGCAAAAATGATTAACATTTTTTTGACTTGATACTTTTTGGTTGGGTATAGCTAAAAGGGCGGAAAGGTTGGGAAATGTGGAATTCAGGAATAATTTTAAAAGCCATTTAGTGCAATTGAATGCTAGCTTTCTAAAAGATTTGTGTCGTTAAAAGGAATTTTTCTCTTCCCTGCTTCAATATGGCGACTTTCCTTGTCCTTTTGTCTTCCAAGCGGTGTTGCAGGTTGTGTCTTGACCCATTTTTCTCCTGTCCTCCCATCTCAACCCTATTTGTTGAGAGGGGTCCAATTCCTCCCCCCTTTACGGGAAGGATGGGGTGGTCGACGGTAGCAATTTAACTTCAGTTGCAGTTCAATTTCCCCGCAGAAAATTGTTCTTTGAACTATTTTAATTGCTTATATTTTCATTATGCCGATTCAAAATAAGTCAAGGACTATTCAGCATGGGGCGGGCTTCGCTTTTTTTCTTTTCTTTTTAACGAAAGAGTGTTTTATAATCTAATTGTAGCTACCGGCAGAGCCCTACCTATCGGATCCGAGTTGAGTCCTCTTCTCACAAAATGGCCTCCCTCCTTTGTTGTTTCTCTCCCTTTGCCATCTTGAGCTCAGGGCCGCCCCAGCCCTTGGTCGAGGGGGAGGAGCCGCCTTCGACGGTGATGTAATGGGCTTTCTCTCCGCCCTCTCGCAACTCCACCCCTCGGTTCCGCAGATTTCCTCGCTGCCTCCCTGGCCTTGCAATTAGGGAGAAGACGTCCTTGTTTTGATGTAATCATTTAAAAGCCTTTCTCTTAAAGGGATAAAAGCTCATGGGGAGTATGTTTCCCGGCTGGCCCTCGAGTAGCTTTAGTTTTTGTGTTTAACAACCAGTCTGTTGCTTTTTACTTTAACCTTCCACTCATCACAACTGCTTGGAAGTGTGCCCCGCTTCTGTTGCCCAATGCCAGAGCCAGTCAGGCCTCAACTGTACTTTAAGGCTGGGGGGCTTCAGGAGGGATTGTGTGTGCTTGTTTGTGTATGTGTGTGTCTTAGGAGACGGGAGAGGCTTGTAACTTTATGGACAGTTGGGGCCTCGTGACCCTGAGCTGTGACATTTCTGCTCAGTAGCTAGTCCTCCAGCCTCCTGCTTTTGGTTGCTTTGTGTTGAGAATCGGGAAGGGTGGGTACTTTGAGAACTTTCTTCTCAATCACCGCTACTCCCATCTCTGTTTGGGGATAAACTCTTGTGTCCAGTGCTTTATCACGGTTCTCCAGTACGTTGGTACTAGGATGAAAAGTGAATCTTTAGGAAAGGAGGCGGCAGTTGTAAACTCAAGGCAGGGGGAATCCAGCTACGGTTCTGGTAAGCAAAACATTTCTGGTATTACATTTCACAACCTTCATTTCTTTTTTCCAAAGAGCCACCTTTTTTTGAATTTCTTTTTCCTTCTAAAAGAATTTCTTAAAAGCATTAATGAAAGAAATGATGTCCTCTTCATTGCTCCCTTGTGCAGTGCTGTGGCAGTGGATGCATGCTGAGAGCCATGCCCTGTCTGAGGGTGGTGCTGGGTTTTGGTTCTTTTCTTACCTCTCTTCCCCCAGCTTAATCTTACCAGACTAAATACTTTTCATTTTTTAAAGTCCTGTATTAAAGCTTGACGTTTCTAGAAGCCATTTTGTACAACTGTGCTAGGGTGACTTGGGGGAGACTTAGGGCTGACATTCTGCTGGGTACAGATTTCTCAAATTCTTAAGTTCTGTGTTGGGTGGGTGGGACTTCCACGTGTCTATTGACCACAAGTCTTTTTTTTTTTTTTCTTCTTTTTTATCTTTTAAGCAGTTTGCCATGTGCCTCTGCAGCATATCTACCTTTGGAGCTGAATATTCCACCCACTGGGGTCCTGGTGTCTAGTGAGCAGGGACTGATTAATAAAGAAGATCTTCCTTAATATGGGAGATGGGAAGCAAGGTCTCCTAGGGAAGCCAGATCCATCCGGAGAACTTCAGAGAACCCGAGCTGTGTAGTCTGTGGTCAGAATGCCTTTTTTTTTTGAAACAGGGTCTCACTGTGTAGTTCAGGATGGTCTGGAGCTCACTGTGTCGCCGCAGCTGGCCTTGAACTTCAAGCCATCCCCCTGCCTCAGCCTTCCAAGTGCAGGGATTACAAGTGTGTGCCACCACACTAGGCCAGAATTAGATTTTAGGGTCTTTCATGTGTGTGGCAGTGGCGTACGTGATTTTGCATCTTTATTGAAAAGCAGACAAGCTTTTGGAGTGATCATGTGCCAGATTTTCTTTTGTTGTTTTTTGTTTTGTTTTTTGGCTTTTTTTGAGACAGGGTCTCACTATGTAGTTGAAACTGACCTGGGACTCACTGTGTAGCCCAAGCTGGTCTCAAACTCACAGCGATCTTCCTGCCTCAGCCTCCCGAGTGCTGGGATTACAGGTGTGCACCACCACACCAGGCTGTGTTGCTTTTTGAGACAAGGTCTCCCGACGTAGCTCAGGCCTTAGCCTCCCTTGACTGGGATTACAGGCATACATCACCACGCCCAATTTCCTATCAGATTTTTCAAAATCACTTGAGAGGTAGGTACTTGCCACTTCAGAGAAAATTTAGAACCTTGTGGATGGTCTGAGAGACAATCCAGTCCGCCATTTAATCATATTAGGAAATGCCTGAACACCGAGAAAGAAACAAAGCATTTTCATTTCCAGAAGTGCCAAGGCCTCTAGATTAAAATAAGTATGAGACTCCTTTCTCCTTGTTAGAAGAGAGTTGTGATCAGCTCTTTAGAGAGTTTTGGTTTGTAGAGTCTTCCCGAACCACATCTGTCCTATTTCGTTGGTAGGGTCTGGAATAATGAGCCAGGGTATTAAGCCTGAGGACTTCACTGTGAGGGCAAAAGGAAGACTTGGCGCGGTGGGCACAGCTCTGCCCGCAGCATCACTGGCGGCCTGGCTCCCACCGGGGCATTGTGTCCGCCCCTCGTGTAGTGCTCCTCTCACGGAAACGCCCTGATCCTTCATGGCTCCAGGAAGCTTCTAGGACATAGTCCCTGTCCCTGCCTCCCTGGGCCTGTCCTGGACGCTCTGCATTTCTTTCCACTTGAGTTCCTGGGAGCTTCTCAGAATGTGCCAACTTCTGAAGTAGGGAAACTGCTGTGTGACACTTAGGGTACTTGAGTAATGAAGTCCACTGTGAGGAAGTCCACTTAAGGTTGTATCACAAGACAATTCCCATTACATTTCCAACGATACTGAAAATGAATTCTTCCCCCTTTGTCTCCTAGCTTCCTTGACTCATGTCTTCTAAAGTGCCTGGGTCCTGTTTCCAGCAGAGGGCAGTGGGCACAGCTTGGTACTGATTGGTCCTTATCCTTATAAGTGGCTTTTTCTCTCTTCGTTCGAGGTCAGGTTCCTGAAGCAGGGGAGAGTTCTCCAAGCTCACATATATTCAGCGTGGTTTTGCTTCTGCCAAAGTGGGTTAGGTTTAGAGGGGCCTGGTTTGAAATGTTTAATTCAAGGCTTTTGATCAAATTGTAAATATTTTGATTTGGAATCTTAACGCTGTGTGTATGTTTGTATAGACATTTTAAAAATTAGACTCTTTGTTGCTTGTGATACGTGATACGACTTTGGACTTTATTGCTGTTCCAGTTTTCAATACATGGGAAGTCTTTTTTATAGATGATATCTGTATATCTGTGTTTTCTGTGCATCGGTATAGAGTATCTCACCACATGGGAACAGTTCCTTTCTCCCTGTCCAGTAATTCCTGTACTTCAGTGGATGCGGCCCACAAGCTTAGGATTTTTTCCAGTATTCTGTTGAATGTTCTTTTCCTCGCACCTCAGGTGCCACTTGTCCTGGTGGAGGTTTGGGGCGGTGGTGACAGACAGTACCGTTGGCCCAGACTTGCTACCTCTTAGCTTTTCTGCCTCCGCCTGCTTGCTGAGGTTGTTAGGACCTGCACACTTAGAAACCGCCCTGCTTGGTGGAAGGACCAAAAAGTTGAGTGTTTCTCGTTTTTGGTTTTATCTTACCAAGTTGGCTCACAAACCTCTGACATTTTCCAGTATTCTCTTTAAACATTTCTTTCCCTGACCTCAGTTCCTGCTTGTCTTTGTGGTGGTTCCAGGTTCTTTCCTGCACAGACTGTAGTTGTCTTGCTAAAATGATTTTTCAGTCCTGTGGGGTTTCTGTCTCTGCTAAGTACCACCCTGAAACACTGCTGCAATGGCATTCTTAGTTGGTTCTCAGAAGCCAGTGTTGATAGAGGTAGTGTGGATAAAATGCCCGTCAGAGCCATACTGACCCTGCATTACCTCTCTAGAAGTTTGTTTCTGGCCCAAAAAATTGCCTTTTTTTCTTTTTCTTTTTTTTTTTTTTTTAAGTACCAGGGATAAAACTCGGGTCCTTGCACTTGAAAGGCAGGTGGTGGAACCACTGAGCTAAATCCCTGACCAACTTCTTTCTTGTGTCCCTTCCCTACAAAAGTTTAGCTTGTAATTAACTGCTTTCCACCCTAGTCTAAAGCAGCCGTTTAAAATTTATAGCACTTTGCCAGTCTTTAGTTTCTTGTCAGTTCCATGATTTGTAGTTTCAGACTTATCTTGGGGGTCTGATGTAGTTGATACTTATGAGGGGAGGCACTTAGCTTCTGAAGCCACAAACTATCATTTTTAAACAATAAAACATGTAGTTTGTGGTAAAAGAGTAACGTTCAGGGCGTTGGAGGACCTCCTTTGTTTGCTCTGCATCCATTTGTCCTGTCTCCTTCTCTGGGATCTTTCCCCAGACCCTCTGAGAAAGGGGCTCTCTGGTCTGGCGCTGCTTTCCCTCTATCACCTTCACTCCAGTGGTCGCATAATCTGCCCGTTGTGGTGATTTTGACACGGGGCTAAGATAAAAGGAAATTGATTCTTGTGAGACATTTGGCCCAAACACCTAAGACTGATGCAGTTTTTACCAAGCTAGACTTTTTTTCCAGACCAGTTTGTCAACAACAAAGGGAAACGGCTTAACAGTAAGTGCCACGCAAATTGAATGTCTAACGAGGACTTGAATTTTAGCTCTAGTGTCACCTAGTGAAATCGAGATTTCCCAGGAGGGCGAGGGACAGGTACGCCACCTGCCCTCCACTCCGTTCCGTTCCTTGGTGTTTAGTCATGCACTCACCCCATGCTTACCTGTGCAAGGCTGTGTTCTCAGTAAGGATGGTCTGTGTGCGAGTAAAACCAGGCTTTGGTTTGTGTAGAAGATAGTGTAATTGTGTGGAATAGCTGAATGCAGTTAATTACAAACAGAATCAAGTCCCACCTTTGTGGGATATGCTGATGGGGTCTGTGGGAGGGTGTACTGGGACAGTGCTTCCGTTTATCGTGTGGATTTATTTTGTTTTCAGAAACTTAGATCATGGGTTCTGGGCCCATAGACCCCAAAGAGCTTCTCAAGGGCCTGGACAGCTTCCTAAACCGAGATGGGGAAGTCAAGAGTGTGGACGGGATTTCCAAGATCTTCAGGTGAGCCTGTGCCTGTGTCGGATTTGTTGCGTGTGGCCGCAGTCGAAGCAGAGGTGCATATCCTAGAGAAGGGAGGGGAGTAAGGAGAAAAGGGTTCACTGAGAGTGAGAGAGGAAAGAGCGGCCTTGGTTTCCAGCCCTGATCAGGCTGAGGACCAGTACATCCAGTCTTGGGGAGCCACGCTGGGAAGAGGGCAGTGCAGCCTGGAGACCCGAACCACCCACCCGAAAGTCGTGTATCTTCTGCAGACCCTACCCTGTTTTTCAGGGAAAAACAAATACCGAAGCCAGTCTCGAAGCGGTGCTTGAAGGGTGGTCGACGGGGGCGCTGGGCCCTGGCAGGGGAGGCAGACTCCCATCTGCCCTTCGTGTTAGGAGGGGGCGGTGCTTTCTCCCCAGAGGAGCTGTGTGACTCCCTCAGAGACCTGACCCCGCCGCTGTGGGAGGAGCGCACAGCCGGCTTCCTCTCTGACTCCGTCTGTCTTCCGCAGTCTGATGAAGGAAGCGCGGAAGATGGTGAGTCGCTGCACGTACTTGAACATTCTCCTCCAAACCCGCTCGTCAGAAGTTCTGATCAAGTAAGTGAGGAGCTGCTGGTGTGGTGTGGCGTCCAGGTCATCGAGGGCGCCACGAGGTGGGGTGTGACAGCCTGCACCCGGAAGGCTGCTAGATGGCGCCCGTCTGCCCGCCTCTAGGTTTATCGACGTAGGAGGCTATAAGCTTCTTAACAGCTGGCTGACATATTCCAAGACGACCAACAACGTCCCCCTCCTCCAGCAGATCCTGGTGACCCTCCAGCACCTGCCACTCACTGTGGACCATCTCAAGCAGGTACCTTCAGTCTCCTAACCTTCTGGGGTCCCACAGGACTGATGTGAGGCGCTCCGGGGCCTGGGAGTAATGACAGTGAGTGTTTGGGGATGAGTTTGGAGTCCGAAGATTTGGTTTGAATTATTTCCCTTGGTCGGTATGTAGCTCGGGGTACCTCGTGTGTCTTACCCTGTTCTCCCACCCGTAAAATGGGAATGATTTTCCCTAGTTAATGGGATCATTCTGAAATGTAAGTGCCAGCTACTGGGATTTGTAAAAGGTGACCTGGTTTATCGGTGCTGCCACTGTTCGGGGCCGAGAGCTGGTGCATTGTGGGCTTGTTAGCGCCGAGTGAGCTTTGCGTCCTCCCTGCACTTACTTTCCTGCTGCCCCATCTCTTGCAGAACAACACAGCCAAGCTGGTGAAGCAGCTGAGCAAGTCAAGCGAGGATGAAGGTAGGGCAGCCATGCCACCCGCTCTCGTACGCTGTCCTTGGTGCTCGGCCCTCTCCCGACCCTCGGGCTGCCCATCTTCCCTGCCTTCCTCTCGCTACCTTATCTTGCTTTCTTCTTTTCTTTTAAAAATGGTTGTTCTAGGGCCGGGGATTTAGCACAGTGGTTCCGCCACCTACCTCGCAAGTACAAGGTCCTCTGGTACCAAAAAAAAAGAACAAACGAAAAAGTTGTAGTTGTAGCTGGGTGTGGTGGTGCATGCTTGTAGTCCCAGCACTTGGGAGACTGAGGCAGAAGGATCCTAACAAGTTCGAAGCCAGCCTGGGCTACATACATAGTGAGACCCTGTCTTGAAAATAAATAAATAAATAAATAAATAAATATTTGCAGTTCTAACTGTCCCCTCTTCCTTATTGTCAAGTCCAAGTGGAATTTGTGCATTTCTCTACTACTGAGTATAAAATATGGTGCCACACTTTAACTGCAAGCTGATTCTTCAAATCACTTGGTAGAGCCAGGCGTAGTGGCACATGCCTGTAATCCCAGCACTCAGGAGGCTGGGGCAGGAGAATCTCTGAGAGAGTTCGAGACCAGCCTGGGCTACACAGTGAGTTCCAGGTCAGTCTCAACTACAAAGTGAGACCCTGTCTCAAAACACAAACAAACAAACAAAAACAAATCACTTGGTGGTAGAAGAGCCATACACTTAACATTTTGGGGGAAATATTAGCATCCTAGAGTGGCAACCATTTGCATTTGTCTTTCTGAATAAATATAGCATATTCTGGGACCTGTTTTCCTAATAATAGATATACTGGGTCTGCCAGTAAACTTACTTCTAAAGAGCGTGGGCAAAATCCTGACTCTTGGATATATCATAGCTCTGACCGGGGCAGATTCTTTCCTTTCCTGAGACAGAAGGCTTTGGAGCTTCCTGCAAGGGACATGTACGGTTTTCTCTTGAAGACAAAGCCTGGCTCCAGAAGTCACAGACTATTTCCCACTCTTTGTGTTTTGTTTTGTTTTGTTTTGGTACGGGGGATCAAAGTCGGGACCTTGCCTTGCAGGGCAGGCAGCAGAACCACTGAGCTAAATCCCCGCCTGCCATTCTGTAGCAGCGTCCTACCAGTCCTTTATCCCTCCTCATGGAAGTCCAGGCTGCTATTCATTCGTCTGAGGGGATTGTGTTGCAGAGTCCTCTGCTGAGACGCTTCAGCCTTTTTGTCAAACGGTGTCAATGCCTGTCTGAATTCTTAGCTGTGGAAAGAAGCACTGGGAACCCTCGCCAAGGTGCAGGGTTCACCTTGCTTCCACATCACAGCATGCCTTTCTGTTCTCTTCAGTCATGTTCTCAGTTGTTTTTAGTTACTGAGCAATATTGTTTTATAATCAGCATCCTCAGTGAGGATCTGTAGCATGGACCGTAGCACAGGGGATCGCTCTCGGGTGTGTTGTTCCTTATTTCTGCCTGGCTTCAGAGTGCTGCCTTTCGTGACTGTAGATATAATTATGTAATTACTTTAGCTATTGAAATCTTTTATTTTTCTTTTTTTGATACCTGGGATAGAACTTGGGACCTTGAGCTCATGAGGCAGGCGTGGTGCCACTGAGCTAAATCCCTGGCCCAAGCTATTGAAAGTTGCATGTAGTTTGTCAGCTGTAATAAAGTTTAACTGGACTATCGTATCAGTTACTCCAGAAAGATTTTAGGACACTTGCACATCGGGATGGGTGAGGTTTGCATCACTGTAGGACAGAAATTTCCAAGCATGTGATTGTTTTGAAAAGTTAGTTTGTTTTTGTTTTTTGAGACAGGGTCTCACTACTTAGTTGAGACTGACCTGAACTCACTGTGTAGCCCAGGCTGGTCTTGAACTCACAGCGATCCTTCTGCCTCAGCCTCCCCAGTGCTGGGATTACAGGCGTGGGCCACCATACCTGGCTGAAAGTCAGGTTTTTAATGGTCCACAGCGAACTTGGTTCTATTCAATAGAAATGTGGGCAAAAAGACAAGTTGCTAGTTGCCATACAAAAAGGGCTACAGAGGTGTTTTGCATAGATTTAGAAAGGAGGTCTTTATATTTAAATTCTCTTACCATCTTTTTTCTTTAAGCTGTTTCCCCACTCCTAAATGGGCCCATTTTAATGCTTATTTCACTCTTGCTGTCCTTAATTGACTTTTTAAAGCATTTTCACTAAAAGCAGTGTAGAAAAAAAGGTTGCCTAAGAAATCCTTTAAAACCTAGTTTTTGTTTGTTTGTTTGTTTGTTTTGGCACCAGGGATCGAACTTGGGTCCTTGTGCTTTGAGGCAGACAGTGGCACCAGAGCTAAAACCTAGCTTTAGCTAAGTTAAAACCGAGGCCCCTAAACCCTAAACCCGGCCTCTAAACCTAGTTTTGTATCTCACGTTCTTAAAAACTCTGGGCTACTTTTTCCATCGTGCAGATTTTTCACATTATTTCTGTCGGACATTCTGGTATTTCTGTTGTTAGGGAAGCGACTGAATTCTTGCCCCTCCTCTCTCTGCAGAGCTCCGGAAGCTGGCCTCGGTCCTCGTCAGTGACTGGATGGCGGTCATCCGCTCCCAGAGCAGTGCGCCCCCTGCTGGTGAGCCCTCTCCTTGCCTCCTTGGCCTTGCGTTTCTTTCTTTCCCACTGGGGTGCGGCTTCACCTCTGGGAGTCTTTACCTCCTAAAGGAAGTTCTTGTCTGCGACAGAAAAAGACAAGAAAAAGCGGAAAGAAGAAGGAAAGGGTCGAACTGCTCCTCCTGAACGGCCTCTGGCTGAGGTGAAGACCGAGGCCCGAGCAGAGGAGGCCCCGGAGAAGAAGAAGGAGAAGCCCAAGTCTCTGCGCACCACCGCCCCCAGTCACGCCAAGTTCCGCTCCACCGGTGAGGCCGCTGGGCGTCGCGGGCCGGGTGGGACCTGGGATGTGGGAGCCCTGGGAGGAGCCGAGCCGAGCCCCCGTGTGCCCTGTGCCCAGGCCTCGAGCTGGAGACGCCGTCCTTGGTGCCCGTGAAGAAGAACGCCAGTGCCGTCGTGGTCTCCGACAAGTACAACCTCAAGCCCATCCCGCTGAAGCGCCAGAGGTAGGGATAGGCCCGGCGTCGGTCTCCGGACAGTGGGTCTGTGACGCTGGGAGCGAGTGGGGCCTGCTTAGGGATATCTGACCACTGTCCTCCCCGCAGTGCCACAGCTGCTCCGGGAGACATGGTCCCCCCCGCAGAGAAGAAGTACAAGCCCCTCAACACGACCCCCAACGCCACCAAGGAGATCAAAGTGAAGATCATCCCGCCACAGCGTGAGTCTGCAGGGGGATGGCTTTTGTGGGACAGGGGGGGTTTGTCCTTTGTTGTACTGTTGTTGTCTTGTCTTTGACGTTTGGGCCTCTGGGGCTCCCCGTGCAGAGGGTTACTTAGGAGAGGGGGTCAGGGCCTCTCCTTCCACGTTACCCACACCCTGATTCCTGGGCCCACGTGGCCCCACCTCAGCCTTCCCAGGCACCTCCTGTTCTCTGCTTCCTACTTTGAGGCGAGGCGTCCACGGTGTCTGACTGCTGTCTGTGCTCCTCTTGCAGCTATGGAGGGCCTGGGCTTTCTGGACGCTCTCAATTCAGCCCCTGTGCCAGGCATCAAGATTAAGAAGAAGAAGAAGGTGCTGTCACCTACTGCTGCCAAGGTGTGGGCCCTGAGAAGTAGGGCTCGGTGATCGGGTCCACATTCAGGAGCGGGCAGGGCACTGCCACTGGCTGGGAGCAGCAGTGGGGTGTTGGGTTGGGATATGGACTGCGGTACCGGGGCACAGAGGCCGTGCGAGTGGAAGTGGTTTCCTCAGGAGCCACTGCAGAGTGTCTTGGCCATGGCGCCCCTCAGCTCACTGACTTCTTTTTCTTTCATAATAGCCCAGTCCCTTTGAAGGGAAGCCGAACACAGAACCAAGCACAGCCAAACCCTCGTCACCAGAGCCAGCCCCGCCTTCTGAGGCCATGGATGTGGACCGCCCTGGCACCCCGGTGCCGCCTGTTGAAGTCCCGGAGCTCATGGACACAGGTAATGGAGAAACTGGCTCAGGCTGGGGTTTCCGAAAGGATGGAGCTGGATCTGAAACCTCTGCTGCTTTCAGCCTCTTTGGAGCCGGGAGCCCTGGACGCCAAGCCAGTGGAGAGCCCTGGGGATCCCAGCCAGCTGACCCGGAAGGGCAGGAAGAGAAAGACCGTGACGTGGCCCGAGGAGGCCAAGCTGAGGGAGTACTTCTACTTCGAGCTGGACGAGACTGAACGGGGTAAGAAGCCAAGCTGCCCGTGTGACGATGCCGTGAGGGGATTTGACGAGAACTCAGCTGTGCTCACTTCCCCTCCTGCCTTTCCCCTTGTCAGTAAATGTAAATAAAATTAAGGACTTCGGTGAGGCAGCCAAGAGAGAGATCCTGTCGGACCGACACGCGTTTGAGACGGCCCGGCGTCTGAGCCATGACAGCATGGAGGAGAAGGTGCCCTGGGTGTGCCCCCGGCCCCTGGTGCTGCCCTCGCCTCTTGTCAGCCCTGGAAGCAACAGCCAGGAGCGATACATCCAGGCCGAGCGGGAGAAGGGGATCCTTCAGGAGCTCTTCCTGAACAAGGAGAGGTGAGCCTGGCAGCGGCCCTGCGAGGGAGAGGGAGAGGGAGGGGAGCTGACTGGAAGCCTGGGCCGCCCAGAAAGAACAGAAGGGGCCTAGGGCTGGGCCAGACAGGGGCGGGGAGATCCAGAGCCGCAGAGGCTGAGAAAGTAGCCGTCCTCCTTCTCTCTTGGCGACAGCCCTCATGAGCCTGACCCTGAGCCCTACGAGCCCGTTCCCCCCAAGCTCATCCCCCTGGACGAGGTGAGTCTGCGGCCGGCCCTGGCGGGAGGGGACGCTGTCCTGCCGGGTCCTGGTTCTTCTCGGGTCTTACCTTCTCCTCCTCGCCAGGAGTGCTCCATGGACGAGACCCCGTACGTGGAAGCCCTGGAGGCTGGGGGCTCGGGCGGCTCTCCTGACGGGGCAGCGGGCTCCAAGCTGCCTCCGGTCCTAGCCAACCTGATGGGGAGCATGGGTGCTGGGAAGAGTCCCCAGGGCCCTGGCGGAGGCGGCATCAACGTGCAGGAGATCCTCACCTCCATCATGGGCAGCCCCAGCAGCCACCCGCCGGAGGAACTGCTGAAACAGCCGGACTACTCGGACAAGCTCAAGCAGATGCTGGGTAATGGCCGGGGCTGCCGGGCTCTCACGGGCACTCTGAGTCTGGGCCTGCATCTGGGGAGAAGCAGCGGGAAGTCTGGGCGGAGAAGCACTGCTCTGCCAGCCAGGCCCGGGAGGGAGGGCTGGCGGGTACCCTGCGGTTAGGGTTAGCGGATTGTTTCATGCTCTCTTTTTTATTAACAGTGCCACACGGACTCCTGGGTCCTGGACCGATAGCCAATGGTTTCCCACCAGGAGGCCCTGGGGCACCGAAGGGTATGCAGCACTTCCCCCCTGGGCCTGGGGCGCCTATGCCAGGTAGGTGGTCGGTGGCAGGTTGAGGGGGCTTAGCTGCATGCTTCGGCCCAGGGACCCTGGACCCTGGATGGAGGCGGTGGGCTGGGAGCGGCAGTACCTGGCCGTAACTGGTAGCTGATGCTCTCTCTCGCCTTTTTATTCCTTGACAGGTCCCCATGGAGGCCCTGGCGGACCAGTGGGTCCACGTCTTCTGGGTCCCCCACCTCCTCCCCGAGGGGGTGATCCCTTCTGGGATGGCCCAGGTGACCCCATGCGGGGTGGCCCAATGCGAGGGGGTCCGGGCCCTGGACCGTACCATCGAGGCCGAGGTGGCCGAGGAGGAAATGAGCCCCCTCCACCTCCTCCATTCCGAGGCACCAGAGGAGGTAGATCTGGAGCAGGACCCCCTAATGGACGAGGGGGCCCCGGCGGGGGCATGGTTGGAGGTGGTGGGCATCGGCCCCACGAAGGCCCCGGAGGGGGTATGAGCAGCAGCAGCGGACATCGGCCCCACGAAGGCCCCAGCGGGGGCATGGGCAGTGGACATCGGTCCCACGAAGGCCCTGGCGGTGGCATGGGTGGAAGTGGTGGACATCGGCCCCATGAGGGCCCTGGACATGGGGGACCGCATGGTCATAGGCCACATGATGTCCCTGGCCACCGAGGCCATGACCATCGAGGGCCACCTCCTCACGAGCACCGTGGCCATGATGGCCCTGGCCACGGGGGCGGGGGCCACCGAGGGCACGACGGAGGCCACAGTCATGGAGGAGGTGAGGCTGCTTCCTGTTCCCCTGTGGCTTCTGTGTCC